CATTTTGAGCCAATTCTTAGCTGTTCCCAGATGATCAGAACATTGGGACAACGTCTTGTTGATGTGATGTGAACACTCAAGGCGAAATATGCCCAGTCTGGCACTTCGGCTTGCAGCATAAGCCACTTTCATGAAGCACTGGAACGCCTGGAAAAACGGGGCAGCCCACAACTTTGAGTCTACAGTGAGTTCCAAGGACGTTCCAAGTAGTTCCTCCTCCTACTACTACTACTGCTACTACTACTACTACTACTACTACCACCTGTTTCGTTGATTTTTGACTCTTGATTGAAATTCAAACACACCTTACGGCTACAATGCAGTGCAATGCTGCTGTCTTTGCCCAGCTTATTGTACCTCTGGCTCAGTCAACGTCTTCAGGCTGGCTTGAAGTGGGCGTCCAAAGCCATGGTCGAGGCAACAGGGCGGCTGCGACATAAAACGGGTGAAAAGCCCAAAGCCTGCAAATGCAGTGGCATGGATGGGATGGGACAAACGGATTTGATTTGGATTAAGATTGAAAGCTGCAAAAAGGTATCAGTATCACTATCACTGTCACTGTATCAGTATCAGCATCTGTCTCTGTCAGTCTGTCCTCAGAGTCTCAGAAAGTTGAAAACTGCCACCGTTTAACTGTTAACTGTTTAACGTTTAACGGTTTAACTGTTTAACTGTTTGCCGAAACCAATCGGAAAATCATAAAGGTAAACAGTAACGGTAAAAGTATAAAAGGAAGTCGGAAGTACTGTGCAACAGTTGAAAGTTGAGGCACTCTGTGTGGGTTTGGAAAGATTTGGCTAAAAACTGCAAAGCTGCTGAGAACTTCTGACAACTTGGGCGCGGCCAACAGGCATAGAGGGCAGTTGTCAAGGGGCTTGTGCAACCTGGACCAGGATATATCATATGTAATATAATATATGATACAATATATTCTATAATTATATATTTATATATTTTATATATATATATAATATTTCCTATATCATATTATGATCATATAATATATAATATATTATATCTGATTCTGACTCATATATTATATAGCCATATCCAATGTATATATATAAAATATAATATATATATATAAATAATATTATATAAATATCATATATCATATATCTGATTCATATTATAATATCATATATCTGATTCATCTGATGATCTGATGATCTATGATTCTATGGTCTATGATGACTATGATTCTGACTATGATTCTGATTCTGATCTGAATCTGATTATGATCTATTATGATTTGGAAATATTGAAATATGATATCAGATGCAAACGATATGATACTATTGTCACACCTTGGCCTTTTGAGTTTGGTCCGGTCCACAAAAGAAAGCCGACTGCTGCACCTGCGCCAAACTGCTGCTGCTCCTTGCTTCGAGTTGCAACCCCCAATAATAATTGCACGGTTTTCGAAAATAACTGAATGAAGTAATCAATCAATTGCGGCATGGCCACAAAAACATTCATTAACCATGCATCATGAATGCAGCAGTTCAGCTTCAGTTACGATTCAGGTTCAGTTTAGAGTTTGGATTCTAAAGTCTAGACTCTAGAGTCTAGAGTGTTTAGTTTGAAGTTAAGTTACGGGAGCCACTAGGCACTCAAAACAAAACTGGTAACTTAGAAACCACTGGTGGATGGGCATTGATGTTGGGCTATGTCGGGTCCTCAAAACAAAACTACTGTCTACTTTCTATTGTTTCTACTGTTTCTACGGTTTCTACTGTTTCTACAGCTCAGCTACTTATCAGTATCAGTACTACTACTACTGCTACTACTGCTACTGAGTATGAATAGATTTTTGAGTAGTAGTAGTGTAGTCTGTAGTCTGTAGTCTGTAGTCATAGTCATAGTCATAGTCATAGTCATAGTCATCATAGTCATCATAGTCATAGTAAGTAATAGTAGTAATAGAAAGTAATAGTCTATTGAATATTGCCATAGTCCATAGTCGTCTATAGTCTATAGTCTGTAGGGTCTATAGTTGCAATGTCCCGCCACTGCTGTCCTGCTACCAAGCACCTTCTGCTTAAAATGAGAATGTCATTTTCCTGGACATCAGCTCCAAACCTGGGCAGCACCATTCGACTGCCTACTTCAAACTTCGAACTTTGAGCCAACCAATCGAGAACCAGTAGAAGAAGCTGAAGTAGAAATAGATTTTTGGAATTGTCGCAATGTAATGCCGGCCTCCTAAGGGCTTAGGCTAAGCTTCAAACAGCAACAAAAGCTTCTGGTGGAAGGCATCACTGGTAGCCATTCTGGCTAGTTGCACCAGTGAATTCCCAGTAACTCTTCCTGCCGCCCTCAGCTCCCAGCTTGCGACAAAATGTGTTCCATGATTCCATGCACTTAGAGCAAAGCTGTAACTGTATGCTGATCCGACCAAATCTTGTTGTATTATACTAAAATCATATTTTAAATCTACTTACATGCATGATAATATAAATAAATTATGTATGACAATGACTATGACTATGACTCATAGACTATGACTATGACTCATGACTCATGACTGCCTGAGCCTGAGGAAGACACCACTCAGGAAAACCGTGTGACCCATCAGCAGCTTCTGAAGGTGTCAACTGGAGACCTGAGCTGATTTGATGGAATCAAAATGTTGGCTGTTGGCTGATAGCAGTTAGCAATTAGCAGTTAGGCAAACAGTGGCTGTGGCTGTGGCAGGGATTGGGCCCGTACTGTCTGCGTTGAACAAGTACCTCCGACAAAGTTCCCGCAGATCATCTTCTTCTGTGTCCTGGCTCTCACACCTAGGCTCCAACCAGCTCAATGTTCAAAATCAAAACCATTGCCTGGGCTTGACGGTTCCAATGCGAAGAATATAACTTATGATTTCTGATTTGAAGTAAGATTCAAATCCAAACCAGTATGGCCTGGTCTTGTACAAAATAAAATATATAATTATATTATATATTATTTTATATATTTATAAATTATAAATATAATATTATATAATATTTATAAATCAATATAAATATTATAAATTATATTATATAATATATATTTAAATAAATATATATTATTTTAGTTTATTTTGTATAATTATATAAAAAATATAATAATATATATATATATAATTTAATATATAGATATATATTATATAATAATAATCATATTATCGCTATTTCCCCTGCTACAATTTTACGTGGAAAAAATCTACAGAGTCGTAGTCATGAGTCATAGTCATAGTCAGGAAAAACACAGTCAACTATCAGGCCCAATCCAACAGTGACACTCAGTCGATCAATCAGGGCCCAAACTCGTAGCGAAGGATGTAGAAAAGCAGCATTCGAATGGGTCGATTGCATTCCATCAACAAAAACAGCTTCAGCGGTGTCGTTTTCTCATTGGCCCTCAGCTGCAAACCATGACAATTGAGTCAGTCAGTCATTGGCAAGTCATTGGTCATTGGGAATTCACACTTTGACTAGACTTTGACTGTGACTTTCATGGCAAAACACAACTCATTCTTGATTCTGGATGATTCCTGCTTCCTGCTGAGACTTGATGAGGACACGACCATTTGGACAGCATGTTCCGTCTGGTACGTTGTTGTGCTGTAAAGGCGGCTGAATCAGACTGCTGGACCTTTGTCCATCCAGCTCAAAGTCAAGCGATTGAAAATTTGAAAGAGATAAAAGTAAAAGTACTGTAATGAGTCAATGAGTCATGAGTCATTAGTCATTTAATTTAGTCCATAATTTCATGTTCCATTTGTCACAGTTACTACATACTAATAATTAATAATGATAATCACTGCTTCCTGCTCAATGCTGATTCAAATGGGGCCCAGACATCAGCATCCTTGTCCATGGTCTTCGCCAATCCGCTACTGTCACTGTCTTTCGATGCCAGAGATGCAAAGAGTGGCTGTAGCATTCCAAAAGATAATGACAAACCCAATGCAAACTCAGCTACACTAGCCACCCCTGTCCAGCGAGCTTGGGCTGGTCTGCTGGGTTTCGAGGCAAGAAAGATATGTCGATACAAGATCGTCACGTGATCTACAACTGCATGTCGAAGTTTTTCCTGCTGCATGCCATTCTCTAATGCTGAGTCATCTACGTACACGATCAAGTCCTTCCCCTGCCAGTCGGAATAGCCAACCAGCCTAGCCCAACAGACAAGCTTCCAGCTTCCACATGTAGCCGAAGCAGATGATGCTTGATTTGACTCATGGTACATGATTTGCTTTTGGATTGAATGACTGCTGACCACTGCTAATTTGGCTGGTTGAAAATACAGTCGCTGTCCAGTCACCATCAAAATTCAAAAGTAGTCAAATCAAGTCCAGAAAGTCAAAAATCAAAAGTCTCAGAGCATCCAAAGTCAACTGCAAGACTCGGACTGCCAATACCTAAAGCAGCAGTGGAACTGTCTGGGCTTGAACTTGAACGAACCAATCAATAAGTTGTCAATAATCAATAAAATAATGTCAATAATCAATTGGTGAAATACATCATGGGACTCACAAAATGACACCAACAGCAACAATGGCGCCTCAAAAGTTCAGATGCTGACTCCACGAGTTCACTCTGCTTCTTGCTGTTGGCCGTGCTATGCTGATCAGAGTCTTCAGACAATTCAGTCGCATTGAAATCAAAGCCTGAAGGTAACTTACCCAAGAGTTTCAAGATCTCGATGTTGAATTTCAATTGATCAAGTGCACTTTGCGGGCGGGATGACAATGGACGCAAGACAAGCTTTTGCTCAATCACCTTCTGCAGTGCATTTTGCAAAATACTCCATGTGCTTGCCCCTCGCATCTGGTTTCCAACACGAACCAAGTTGGTAAGCAAGAATGGTCCTTTCTTTGCTTTTTCGGTTTTTTCATCCTTTTCCTTGGAATCCTCAATATCTTTTTTGGGTGCTGGACCAACATCTTCACTTTTGCTGCCCTTGCCGCGGCTGCGGCCTTTACCACGACCACGTCCCTTTGGTTTGATTTCTGGGGCAGCCGGCTCTGGCTCCTTTGGGACCTAGCCCCACGGCCAGGAGCAAGGCAAATCCTGAGAGATTGACGGTTGATGAATGAGAGTCAACAGTCAATGTCAATTCAATTCAGTCAGTTGAGACGACTAGTCTAGTCTAGTCTACAGTCTAGTCTAGTCTAGTGACTACTGACTACTTACTACTGACTGACTAATATCAAATATCATGTACTGTAATGTACTGTAACTGTAACTGAACAGTGAAAAGTGGAAAATGAAAAGTTAACTGTGAAAAGCATTTTATGTCCTGAGAGTTTCTGTTTCTTGGGTCCGGTCCCTGCCCTCAGACAGTCACTGAGCACCAAGCCAAGCAAAAGGTTTGGACGCTAGAACAAAGATGTACTGCATGGCACTGGCAAGTAAGCTCCAGGACCTACAGTACAGTATGGACCCATATAGTATAGCCAGAGTCTTATAATTTATATATATATATATATAATATAATTTATTATATTATATTATATTATATTATATTATATTATTATTATATTATATTAAATTATATATATAATATATTATATTATATAATTATATATATAATATATCAATATATTGTATATTAATCATAACTCATACACATACACTCATAATTTATAATAATGCATTCATATATTCTATGATTCTATGATAGACTGATAGACTCATTTAATATTATATTATTGTTTTATTATTACACATCATATACAGATACATATCAAAGGCATAATTCATAGAATATCATATACCATATCCTGAAAAGATGCCAGCCGCTGCCAGCCAGCCAAGTAGCCTGCCTGGCTGGTTCTAAAAAATACAACTGAATCAAACCAAACCAAACTGAATTTGGATCATTGAAGAAAATCTGGAATGGAACCTGGTGTCTGATGAATCTGAATTGTCTGAAGTCTGAGGGTTTCACCAAACTGTTGGAAGTGCACCGTTTGAGCACCTGCACATATCACTGTCTGAGTCTGGTCACTGGTCCCGTCTGGCTGTCCAACAAACAACAAGACCGGCCATGACTAACTAAAATGACTAACTCTGACTGACTAACTAATATATGACTTGACTTGACTTAACATAAAAAACTTGACTCAACTCTGACGCTGACCGTGATGTGCCTGACCCACACTATTGCTATTGCTGTTCTGTTACTCTACATTCTCCTCTCCCACTGTCCCACCCGGCACCACTAAAGCCTCAAACTTCTTCACAAGAACATTTGAGAAGGCACCATCAGCAAGCAGTATCGCAATGTTGTACACCGCGCCACTGACCAATGTCGACCTTTTGCAACGGCGCTGCTCGAAAGTTCAATCCGACTTGGAGTCATACTTAATTACTTCACTTAACTTAACTGAACTGAACTTTCAGTTGAATTGAATTTCATAGGCTTTGGCGTTGACTTTTAATTTTCAAATCTGAAATTTTGTGGATCTGAATCTGATCTGAATCTGATCTAAATTCTTGTTATGACAACAGTCTCTGACAGTCATATTCAGCAGATTATGATTCAATTCTGATTCTGATGATGACAGCACCACCGTCCAAGAAAATAAAACAAACAATTCAAAAGCCTAAGCCGATAAGCCTAAGGCCTAAGCCATGCACCCAAACTGAAACCTAAAAAACCGAACCGAACCAACCCACCAAACCTCTTGGATGGCCACAATGGCATCCAGTCATCCAGAGCAGCCTTTATCGTGGAAGCAGTGAGCCGATGCAACCGAAGTGGTGGGACAATGATAGGCTCCTGCAAAACGTGCTCAGCGAAGAAGATGGATTTGGACTGTCATAGGCTTAGGTGGAGTCAGTCATCATGCAAAATGGTGGTGGATTCATTACTTATTACTTCACATATCATATCATATCATTGATCATCGCATGATCAACTCAAAATTCAAAACTGAATGAGTGAGGGCATACTCCCTGGCTGGGCAACTATGACTCTTACTCTGACTGTGACTCTCTATTTTACTTCCTTCTCTGACTTCTGCAAATCAGCGCAGTGAGGTTGGTTCGGTTGGGTTGAGTCTGTTGCTATCTGTGTATAGCAAGCTTGAGCGAAACAACCGGAGCCGCAACCTAGGAAATTGCATCTGCACTCTGCTCTCTGTACAGGAATTTGGAGTATCCAGTGCCTCCGATACTGTGCCACAACTCTGCATCCACTGGTTCCATTGCAATGCCACAAATGAACAATACAAACATAGAAATCATAGAAATCATAGAACATAGAATTTCATATCATATCATCATAGAATCAAATGATTCACGAATCATATTGATTGATATTGATATGCAAGCACACACAAGCATCAAAATGAACAGTTTTTAATTTGATTAGTAGTGTTGTACATGACATAGAGTTACATACATACGTTACATACTGACATAGTGAAATGACATCGATCATCGAATCTTATCAACACTGCTGCAAAAAAAATATTGAATTACCACTGTCCACTGTGGCACGCAGTCTCATCTCCAATGCCGGGTCAGGGCAACCCGATGCCGATTCCACCAATGATGGACTGATTTCATTGGCACATTGACCCTAATACTACCATCAACAAAAGAACCAATGGACTTGGTTGCTGGTCACGCCATGTCACACGTCTCACATGTCAGGTAGTGGCACACCACAGAAGATCGTGATCTGGTCTTCATCTTCGTGAACCACAACTCGACCCCCTTCCTCATCCTCAAAGAGTGCTGATCCCGTAACCCTTTGGCTAGGGCCATCGGAGTTGCGCACAGGCTCTGCATGCTGAATGCCAGCTAGAGCTCTCTGGAAATCAAAAGCACGTCCAGACCGTCCAGGTCCAGATGATGACGACGCACTGCCCATGGAATGACTGGTGGCACGGGCACATGTCTTTGCCTTTGCCTTTGGCTTTCCAATCACATCATGTAATGTGCGCTGGGTCGGGCGCTTCCGCTCTGAGAATCCAGGGTCACCACATGCTTCAATGCTAGCATCAAGCATCTCTTCCAATCCACGCTCTTCCTCTGGCTCTGTTCCAGGATATGGACCAAAAATAGCAGTCAAAGCCTGCTCTTCTGTGGTACTTCCGAGTACGCCGTGACTGTCAACTACCAGCCATTCATCGGACGCGGCCATGGTAAGTCTGGAGTCTGGAGTAACTTAAAGTCGGGCAGGAAGCCAAAATGCTTTGACAGTGACACAGTACCTCTGATTCTGATTCAGCCATCTAACTTGACTTGACTTGACTGTTAGTTAGACTGTCAGTCAGTCAGCATGTTTTTGATTTGATGATGATTCATGACATGATTGATTTGAATTTGAATATTGGTCATTGGTCGATTTTCTGATATCAGTTATCTGTCAAGTCAAGTCAGTCAGTCTATCAGTCGAGTCTAGTCTATTATCAATGTCCAGTCTGTATACCTGTATACTGTACAATTATCTATAGTCTATAGTCTATCTTGTCACTAGTCATAGTTGCGATACTTGCATTACCGTTGTAAAGGTTAGTTTAGTTTATTTACTATGGTCTATGATGATCTGTATGTCAGCGGTCAGCGTCAATAAGTTTCTCAAGTCCAAGAACACCCCAAGTCCTTCACAATGACCGGCGGGAAGTGCGAGTCAGCATCCATATCCACCACCTCACGAGTGATCAAACGTCAGTGGTGTCATGTCATGGATTTGATTCGATTTATTTATTGAATGATACCATTTATAATTTATACAATTAGATAATAATTGATAATTGTATGACATGATATGTGCGTGCGATATGAAATATTATAATTCATGTGAGTCAGTGATATCAAGATATCGATGGTCCTGTCTGATCTGATCATCTGCCATTAATTAAGTTATGAATTCTGATAGGCAATCGATGACTAGACTAGATTAGAGTTTAGACCTTGATGTTTTTTTATTGGTTGACTGTTGACATCGATGAATCGATTGATTGATGATTGACTGGAAACTGGAAGATTGATATTGATTAATTGACTATGTTGCTGGTTGACGGTTGACAGTTGAATTATGATTCATGATTAAATTATAATTATGATTAATCACACTGCCACAAGAACAGTTGAAAGTTGAAAGCTGAAAGGGAAAGCATTTGCTGAGCTCCCAAGCGATGACCTCACCATGCTGTACCATGATGCTCCTGCTGCGAAAGCGATGCGGATGACAATGCCTACAGGCCTACAGGTGCTTACAGCCTGCGAAAACTGAAACAGGCGCTTGGAATCAAGTGATCACATAAGTATTTAATTAACTTAACTTAGGCTTTAACCGACTTTGACTTTAACTTAACCAATAATAAAACTTTGACTTTGACTTTGACTTAAACTTTAACCATATATTATATATTGATTATATATTATATTAATATATATATATATTATTATATATAATATATATGATTGTAAAATTATATTAATAGTCAATGAGTCAATAGTCAACTGAAAACGGTTTTCAGAAAGCCCCAGCCAATCTCTCATCGAAACTCTAAAAGTAACAAATACCGCCCAACCCAACAGTAAATCATTCATCAATCATCTATCATCCAAATGCCAACTGTCTGTCTACTGTCACCTGGCCATTAGTGAAACATCATTGAACTTGAACGCAAACTTTGAAACACACAACCGCACATGAAAAATTGATCACCTGTCAAAAAAAAACGAAATTGAAATTGAAACATTTTAGTGAGTCGTTGGGTTCATCGTCGGCTGGGCTTCGCACATTGCAAGATTGGCCTTGCTTTCTGCCCTTCTCTTCCTAAGAGGCTGAGGAAGCTGATGCATGTGCACAGTGCAAAATCAAATAGTTAGTTAGTTAATAGTTGATACGAATCATACTATACTACTATACTCAGACTCAGACTGTAGTCTGTAGAGCATTATTATGTGATAGATATCGACATCGACATCGATATATGATATGGTCCATATGAGTCATATGAGTCATATGAATATGGTAAGTTAGTCTAACAGTTAGACCAACCGACATCGATACCAGCCACCCCTGGGATATTAAATACGGGATGCTACTCAAACTGATGCTGACATGAAATAAGATCGTCAGAGCCAGAGCTATCAACATCTGCTGGATTGACCATGTTGCAAAATCTGAGAGACTATCCGATTATCTGGTTCTAAACTTCATGATTCATAATTCATAATCAATCATGAACCCTGAATAATCATCAATCAACAATCAACACAACTTAACAGTTACATAATGAACAGTTCATTTAACAGTAACATAATCTGAAATCTGAAAGTGCTATCACTGCTGAAAAAAGTTGATCCACAACACACTCTGTTGATATCATATCGGCACTGTCTCACAGTCTCACACGAAACCAAGCATCGCCCCCAAATATGCTTTACCAATCCGAATACCAGATCCCATGTGTGCCAGAATGGGCCCGGCCATACCAGATTGCTTCACCAAGTTTGATGCGACCTGTTCCTGAGCGATGTATGGTTTTCTTGCTCATGACTCATGACGACTCATTACTCATTGACTCATTGCCAATGCCAATGCAGAAGCCATACAGCCTACTTCAGCCTACAGTCATCTGCAGTCTACAGTCTACAGTCATTGTCATTGTCATAGTCGAGTCTAGTCTAGTCACTAGTCTAGTCAAGTCTACAGTCTACAGTATACAGTATACAGTATACTAGACTATACAGACTATATGACTATATAGTATGTAGTCTACGGGTCTACACAGTCTATGCAGCCTTCAAGGACATGACATGCTTACTGCTTACTGCTGACTTCTTACTTACTTGTCTGCCAGGTCGTTTTACAGGAGTTGCAACTAATTGCAATTGCAATCGACCAAAACTGAACACTGAAAACTGAAAACCGAAAACCCATCAAAAACATGTTTCTCATTCTCTACTATGTTGCTTATTGCACGATAAAATTCCGTCTCGTCCCAAATGCAGAGCTGAACAGTCATGTAGTTCTTGCAGTCCCGGGTTAGGCACCCGTCCACCTTATTGGAAGCGAAAACCAGAGCTGAGTTTCCCGCTGCAAAAATTGGCAATCATTTTTGTTCGGAAGAACAACCCAAATACAGTTTGAAGTTGAAGTTTGAACATACATGGCCATAGGCCATAGGCCATACAATACATACATTACATTACATAACATAATATTATTAAAAACCAGTTTAAATTGAATCGTTTGAAGTTTGAAGTTTGAACACAAATGTTGGTCATGAGAGTCATGAGGGTCAATAAAAATGACGAACCTTTAATGGACTTTCATGGTGGTAAAACTCTGTCAGTCTGTCTGCAGACTTGGGCACCAATTGTTTGACAAACCTCTTCTGCAAATTGAGAACAACAGTCGCCACGTTAAACTTGGCATTCTTCACGAAACGTTGGTCAAAAGTTTCCTGATTGGCATGTGCTGACAGCAGGTTTTGTTTGCAGTCTATGGAAAATGAATAATATTAATTAGTGGGATAACCCCAAAAAAAAAAACGGCCATCACATCACTAATCAAGCACCAGGTTCACCTAGTTGACATGTCAGCAGTGCAGCTGGTCTGCCTAACAATCCAGTCCTTTCCGACACTAGACTTAGCGCCGATACGAGATGTCGTGCCACTTGTGAAACGTGGGCATCAGCTATTCTACCAGGCAAAAACGATGCTGCAATTTGTAATTGAGCCTTAGTTGTTTCAAAAAGAATGATCCTGACTCCAGACAAATATTATATATATAATTATAATATATATTATATTATATATTTTTTTATCTATATATTATATTATTAAATATTATGTTATGATATAATTTAATATGTATTTAAATACATATTAAATAATAAGATAATAATATATATATATATATTATTTATATGTATTTATATATACATATATACAGTTATATACATGCCGTGCCGAAAAAAAATCCACAAAAAGTGCATGGCATGCCCATACCCATACTGTCTTGGTCTGGGTTAGGTAAGGTACTCCAAAAATACGAATTCAACTGCTGCTACCGTCACCCAAAAAAATGGTTGCAACCAACATGAAAAACATTGGACGATGTCTGCTAAGGCACATCCACATCTTTTGTTGATGCTTGGCTAGGGCTGGATTTGTCAGAACAAAAGGAAGAAGCCCTGCCCACTGCTCTTTTGCAACCCCTGGCCAGCCAACACAAGCTCTGCCTCTTGCTGCTAGTGCCCTCTGCAGCAGTCACGGGCACAAAGTCGAGAGGGTCCATGCTTGCTATGCGGCTATGCGAAGCAAGTGGTGGACAGCTTAGAAATAAATCAAAAATAAGCACTACAGCACTACATCAAATACCTTGTCTAGTCGTAAAATTTACGACGATTTTTTTGACAGCCCTGCCCCCCCTCATATTGCTATGTGGCGAATTTCCAAATCAATATGAATATGTCCAAATGTATTCCATGTCAGTTATAGTTATATCATGTCTGACAAAAAAAATAAGGCTCTGTGCGCAAACCGGGCTTGGCATGACTGCATGCTGAGTTGCGGCCGGGCAAAGTAAAACTATAACATGCCGTGAAACGGGATTATGTTGTAGTTATAGTTATAGTCTAGTCATAATAATTTATAATGTTATGGTTGATGGTTGATGTGAATGGATGCCCCGTGTGAGACCACCAAAACAATAATTGTTTGAAACGTTCTTTCTGGCATTCTTTCTGGCATGTATTCTGACATTCTTTTTGGCATATTATATAATATATATATATATTCTGAAATTGTTCCTGGCATCTATTCTGGCATTCTATCTGACATTCTGTGTGGCTTTCTATCATCTGACATTCTTTTCTGGCATTCTCTCTCTTCGGGCCCAGGCCCAGTCCACAGCGTCCAGAGCTCGACATATGAGGTTCAGCGACGAGCTGGCACAGAGGAAGCAGAATGATGAACTGCACCTGCATTAATATCTAGAAACCATCACCTGGCAGGTGTGTAATAATGTTTTTCCCCACTTGTCAGGTGATAGTTGTTAGGTTTGATTTGATGTCAGCTATCTATCCGCTGTAAGTCCAGATCGCAGTGGTCCTCACCGGACCCGAACAGCAACCTCTGGATCAAAGTGATTCCCGCCGGACCTCAACTGCAAGCTCTAA